CCCACACTTGCAGCTACAAAGCAGCTTTGTGTGCACATGGAAAATTCCTTTCCCAAGGCCGTGCCCGGTGCCAAAGTTTGTGTTCTCAACTACAATGCTACATCGCCTCCAGATCCCCAGGCTATATCATCTCCAGGGGGCATCCGTCAGTACTCCCATCTTAGAACAACAGCAGTCCCTGGGAAACAAGTGGGGAGCATGAAACAGCACGCTGGTCATGATGAATTTTAGGCACTGCCCAAACTCACTCGGGACCACTCAACAGGAGATGACACTCTTTGGTACTCAAAGGTACTAGAAAACGTACTAGAAACCTTGGGGAAAACCGCATGTTCGAGTCTCTTAGGAAAAATGAGAAATAGTGCCAAGACGACGATAAAATGCCACTCAGGTATATTGAGAAGCAACATGGTAGGGGAAGGACATGGACTTTGGTATTAGATGGGCCCGTCTTAACATCTTGACCTTACTGCTTACTTGCTGTGTCAGAAACAAAACCTCTGTGCGTTCAGTCACCTGTAAATGAGAATAATGTCATCGTTATCAGGAATAAAGGAAGTAAGCACAAACTATGTGCCACACTGGAGGTACTTAATCAAGGATCATGATGCGATTTCTCCTGCACTCCTACAGCATTGTGGTGACGGTGTGAACACGTGTGTGTTCAGTGGGTGGTCCCAGCTTGAACCCAGGAGCGAGCTTGCTGAAAGGTGTCTGGGTCGAAGGAGAATGAGGGGACAGTTTGGTCAGATGTTCCCCGATGGGCAAAGGGGGAGTGAGCCTTGGACACAGCTTCCTGACGTGGTCCCAGAGATGTGAGTTGGAGGAGGGGCTGCAGGAAGATACCCAATGAGTTATTTTTATGAAGGGCTGTGTGATAAGGAGAACTGCAGAGTGCACAGGACAAAGCCCACTTCTGAGAGGGCCAGTGAGGTGCTGCCACATGGAGGCCTCAGGAGTGTACAACAAACACCACACTACACCCTGAGGGTCTGGAGACCCAGGGTGGCAGATGGCCGCAGCCGGGACAGGGTGGCATTCTCAGGGAGGAGTCCACTCCTTCTCAATGGCTTTTGGACATCAGTGAGGAGGGTCGGGCAGGTTTTCTTGAGCTCCCCTGAGATACCCCAGGGATGCAGAGAAATTTCCCATGGGACGTTGAGGGGAACAGGAGTCTTGCTTCACCAATAGGGGTGAGATGCTCCACGAGCTGGTCCTAGGCCTCTTTACCCTGGATACATTCCTTGTCTTCCTCCTGCCCTGCTCTGTGTTCCAGGGGGCTGCCCTTGTGGACTGTGTTTCTGAGGCCCCTTATTATAGACTGAATGCTTGTGTCGCCCTCAAGTGTGTATGTTGGGATTCTAGCCTTCAAGGTGATTATATTTGGAGATGGGGCCTTTGGGAAGAGATTAGCTCATGAGGGCAGGGCCCTCATGAATGGGCCTAGTGCCCTCATAAAAGAGACCCCAGAGAGCTCTCTCACCCCTTCCACTTCGTGAGGACATAATGAGAAGACAGCCATCTATGAATCAGGATGTGGGCTCTTACCAAACACCGAATCTGTCCGCGCCTTGATCTTGGACTTCCCAGCCTCCAGAACTGTGAGAAATAAATGTTTGTTGTTTAGGCCACTCGATCTATAGTATTTTGTTACAGTAGCCCAAACGAACTAAGAGGGTCTCTGGCCAGGCATTAGCAGGAGATGGGGGGGTTGAGTGGAAGGAAGATGGCAGTATCTGGGTAGCTTCTCTAGCAATGACTCTATCTTCTCTGTGGCTCCAGCTTACACCGAACAAGCCCGTCATAGCTCTGGCTTGTACCAGGTCACCCTGCTCCAAGCTCCATAACCTGGCCTCGTCTCTTGCCTCTCCAGCCTTGAGGTAGCAGTGACTCCCCCAGGTCGCTCATCCCTGGGTTGCCTCATTGTCCCTGTTTGGTTCTCCCTCCTCTATCACCAGTATAACCAGTTCCCTCTATTGTAGAAATGACATGGTGCCTGTTTTCCTCTTTAGACTCTATGGCTACGTCACCAATTTCCCCATAGGCTGAAGAATCTCATGTTCTATGTATTTGGAGATTGTAGATATATATATGGAGGAAGAGGACGTTATAAAATTTTATGAGATGCTAAAAATGACGCCCACTTGAGTTATTCAAGTCTTACTAATCCAAGACTCTCTCTACCCCAACATCCCCAGGAAATAGCAGGCTTGTTCCAAAAACCCAGTGAGATGATTCTCTAGTCTTTCTTCCCTCAGCTTGAGCTCATACGGACTGACTTGCCTGGTTTGCATCCCACTGAGGTTAGGGCATTCGATTCCATTTCAGATTTACTTCCTTCTTGTGGGTAGACAGTTACAGTAATGGCTCCCAATGGAGCCAGGGCTCCCTCCCTACATCCACACCCTGGTGTCATCCCCTCCCACAGTGAGTCGGAGCTTGGCCATGCAACTTACTTTTGCTAATGGGACAGCAAATGTAACATAAGCAGAGACTGGGAAAATGATTGTGCGTTGAGCCTTTTCCTCTCTCTTGCTACTTTTGGAACCCAGCCACCATGTGACGAAGCTGAGGCTGGTCTCTGGAGATGCATGGCCTGGCTAACAGCCAGTATTGATTGCTAGAAAAATGAGTAAGGCCATCTTAGACTACCAACGCCATTTTGAGCTACCAAATGACTGCAGCCAGATGCCCCCAGGTGGGATGCCCAGAAGAATCACCCAACTGAGCCCAGACCAAACTGCTGACCCCCAGAACCATGAGTATATAAAACAGTGGTTGTTTGTAGCCATTGAGGTTGGGGTGGCATGTTGGGCAGCAAGGACTAACTCACACAATCTCCTTTCTACCTTTGGTTCTTTCCTACCCACATGCCAGCACCTCCTTCCTGTTAAGCAACCCTTTTAGAACACTCTGCCCCTCACAGGTACCTCAGCTCACCAAAGGCAAACTCACTCTCCACCAATGGCCATCCGTGTACTACTTCCCCTCAAGAGTTAAGCCCTAACTTCATTGCATGCAAAGTTTTCCTTAAAAAAAAATTTTTTTTTTTTTTTTTTTAAAAATGTGGTTTTGCTTCCAAATGATGTTCCAAAGCTCTCTGGCTCACCAAAGAGTAATCCCTCAGCTGGAAAACGCAGCGATGCTATTTTAGTATGGCACCAAGCCTCTGGCTTCTTGATGTTGCCAGGGCTGCCGATGCTTCTTCATGGAAAACTAAATCAACTGCCTAAGACACAGAGACTTGTCCCAAAGGGATATTTCAGAAAGGAGAGGCCCTCACCTTCTTTCCATTCTGCCTCTTTCTACCGAACCCCTCAGGCCCCCAGCCAGAGATGGATCTTCTTCCTCTGGAGCAATGAACTTCTAACCTGCTTAAGTGGAGGCCCATCTGTTGTCCCTGACCCTTTGGCCTCTCCCCACACTCGTCCTAATTGTTCTCTGATGAAAGCTGAACGTAAGCCTATGTAACACTGCAAAAATGCACGGCTGGCCGACCAAACATTAACAAGAGAGACAGCTATGAGAAAACAATATGCCTGTTTGCTCGACCTCCCTTTCTGCCGGCAGACTAATTCTGGAAACTTTCCCACTCTCCCAGGGAAGAGGTGCTTTGCTAATCCTGCCAAGTGTCAAAATGGATGGCGTTTGAACAGCTTCCTCTGGCTAGGGCTATTTTTCAGACTATCCCTTGATAGAAACTCTCATGGATTCGGTGCAGACAACATCTCTCCTGGATCTAGTACAGGCGGTAGGGGGAGGGGTTTAGGAGGGGGTCACTGCTTATGAAACTAGTTACCTTTTCTCAAGCACTGCTTTTCCCTGGAAGATGATTAGGTGGGCAGAGGTCACTGAGGAGAAACAGAAGCTCCAGAGGCCACCTCAGGGACTGCCAATGACTCATTGCCACAAGGAAAGGGCCTGGGGCCTGGAGGAAGACCGACAGGTTCAGGGCCCAGGCCAGTGGTCTAAATGTCAGCGGTGACCACCTCTTGGGAAATGCCTTCAGGATCCAAGATTCCTAGGCTTCGCCAGTCTGGGTCAAAGAAGGTTCATGACATCAGTCTGGACCCAGCACCACTTGCTTCTCTCTGTCTCCCCAAAAGTTCCAGGAGAGCTCTTTTCTGCTCTCATGTCTTTAGGGAACCTTTCCTTGGCCCACTCCCAGCTAAATCACCCTTGGAATCTGCTGATCTACCTCTCCTTCCTTTGTGGCCTCACTGTGTCCTGGACATTCTCTCATGGAAAACTTCTACACCTGATTACACTTACTTGTCTGCAGATTTGTCTCCTTTTAATGGACTCTGGCCTCCTACAGAGGAGATGACACGTCATATTTACTCCATATCCCCAACAATCAATCCAGTGTGTGCACTCAGTAGGCACTCAGTAAATATCCTCATTTTCCCATTTAACTCAGAGAAGGTAGCCTGCCCAAGGTCACCCAACAGGTGAGTGCCTGAGCCTGGATTTGGACCCAGGCTTGTCCTAATCTAAAGCCTTTGCCATTCCTCTACTCCACATTGTCTCCCCAGTTAGTGACCCCTGCCCACCTCTCTCTCTCTCTCTCTCTCTCTCTCTCTCTCTCACACACACACATACACACATGCATGCACAGGTACACACATGTCACAAGACAGTATGGGTAGAATTACAGACTGTCAGAGGAGGAGATGATCTAAGACATCACGGAAACCCACTTAATTCTTTAACAAGTAAAGAAACTGAGGCCAAAGACACGAAATCATTTGTGTGAGCTGATGTGCTTTGAGCCAACTTTAAAATGTGGTCGGGGGCTATTCCTGTTGATAATCATATTCAACTTATCAGTATATATCAGAGCCTCCTAGTCAGTTTAACTCATAGCTTCATGGAAGAAACGTAGCCAAGTGATACACAGTGCCTGCCTTCTGAGAGACTTGAGCATAGTTGGGAGAGAAATACGAGCATAGCTATAAATCCAGGGTAGGACGTGAGGAATCCAAAGCAGTTCAGGCCCTCAGAGGAGAGAGAACTCACACTGATTGAGCAGTGGCAGGAAAGCCTCTCACAGATGATAAACTGAGACGAACTTTACAAAAAGGCTGGATGATGGGAAGCCCAGACCAGGATACCGCACGTGCGTCGGCATAGAGGTAGGAAAGCGCATCCTGCGTCTCAGAGGAATGGTTCCACGCAAACGTGCCCACGATGTGGACTCTGCCTGAAGGCGCAGGATGGAGGTGGAGCTGCCGGGCAGGAGTGGGGTGTGCTTTGGGGTCATGAGAGCAGGTGGGAAACAAAAACATCTTCCCCTGGTATCTCAGGAGAGAGTAATGCTCACAAGCCCATCTGGGGAAGGGAGCTAAAGGGACAGAGACCTGGGGATTTACAAAGAGTAAGAGAAAAAGAAAAGCTCAGTAATTTGGACCTGATTAGAATAGAGCTCTTCAGGCTGCAAGAAAGAGGGAGAGGGATCCTGCTTTAAGGCACTCATAGGCTTTTCCCTTCTGTTTCCCACTCTCCCTGGTCCACCTGAGATATCCATCTGCCTGTAGGAGGAGGCACGACTGTGAGGGGGTGAGGTGGGGGGGCGGGGTGCAGGGAATCTGTGTGTGCAGATTCATGTTGATTTCGGAAGGAATTCCAAGAGAGAGAGGCCCAGGTAATGTTTAGTTTGAGTCATTCAAAATAGGATTATGCAGAAAGTTCTAGCCTTTAGGAGCCAGACCATTATCTTGAGAAGGAATTTTCCAAATTCTTCCTCCTCCCTCGGAATAGAGCTCAGAGTCCTTCCGTTTGCCGAGTAAGAGACCAAAGCCAGTCCTTCAGGGCTTGCATGAGTCGGAAAGGAAGAAATAGAAGTAAAGGAAAAGCCCACCCTTTTTCTGTACCTGAAAAGCTTTTAAAAAGGGGAGGAAGTGGACAGAGTGTGAATAGCTAAGCAATCAGCGAAATTGTCCTGTTGTTCCCATCTCTGGGCCTGCAGAGGGGAGGGTGCTAGAGAGGTATTACACTTAGGACTCTGGGTGGAAGCCCCTTCACAAGCCACCCCGTTAAAACCCAGGGCACAGCCCCAGAAAAGGAGCTCCATATGGTCTGCCCCAGGGGAGGCCTGAAGTTCAGCTTCCCTGGGCGCACCCTCAGTCCCCATGGGGTGCAGATGCTAAGGTGGGAGACAGTGGGCCCACCAAAGGGCCTGCTGTTATGATACAAAGTGACCTCCCAGCCACGTCTAAGGAGTGGACCTCCCAGCTAACAGACTGGAGGACCAATGGAAAGAGCTTAGGGTTGCTGCCCAGCTGAGGCCGGGGCACCAAACTGTCACCAGGAGCATTGCCTGGGCCCAAAGAACAAGACACACGTTCGGTCCCGGAGTCCAGGAGGTCAAGTATGACCCAGGCCAAAAAAAAAAAAAAGGACCTCTTCCCGAAGACCAGCGCACACCACACATCCAAAGGCCTTGGTGGGACCAAAGAACCCAAGACCTCTGGTGCCATGAGAGGAGAAAGCTTCCTCACTCCATAATCCCACGCCTCTAGGGTGGGGGACAGAGGGGGTGACTATCGGAGACACTGAGTGTTTTTCCTAAAGACTGAGCATTATCTGAAGGGTTTAAAATACCAGTTCAAAATTTAACTGGATTGGACATTTAGTTTTTCTTCCCCATCCCACTAACTAGTGGGTGGGGTTCAGAAGAGAGAGACCAGATTAGTTCTAAGCAAAATAATGATACTCTATTTTCCCTGCACATCCGATATGTGGTGAGTTCTATTTGTGCAACCGGCTCCCCTGAGTTCTTGGGACACCAGCTCCAGGCCTGAACTGGACTCTTCCGGCTTGGGGAGGGCCCCCCCCCCCCCCCCGCCGTGAGCCTGTGCGGGGGGTGGGGGGCATTCTGGCAGAGCTGAAGGCCACCCCGCTCCTGTCCTGCGGAGTGGGGAAGCCTTGTGGAGAGCAGCTGAGCAAGAGGGACGGTCTCTGCTGCACAAGGTGGGAGCCAGGCTGCGGCGGGCTGGCCCAGGGTGGGGAGAGGAAAGAGTCTCGCAGTAGCAGGAACTGAGGGGGAGAAGAAACTGGAAGGAAAGCCCGACGCTAAAAAGAGACATGGGAAGAGAAGTAGGGGCTTGACGCCCAGGAGAGGATCCGGAACCAGGCCAGGGCCTTTGCCACGTGTCCGGAGTGGGGAAGACGGCCCACAGTGGTGCTGGGAAGCCCGAATGCCCCGTGGGGGCCGGGCTGAAAAATAGTGGGGGCCATCTCCAGTCGGGGCGTCTAGGAGCAGAGGAGGGCCCAGAGAAAGAGGGGGACAGAGAGAAGGAGGAGAACACCCCTGGCTCTCACTTACTGGGCGCTCGCCCTGTGCGGAGATTCCGGCGCAGGCCTGGGGAGCCTGTTCGCAAGGCTGGGACGCCCGAGAGGGACCCTCGGGGCCTCCTGGGAGGGCAACAGACCTGCCCCCGCGCGGGGCTTCCTCGGCCTGGCCTGGCCGTCGGTGGGGGTGTGTGTGGAGGGGACCAGGGACCCACCTTCCAGGGAAGCAGCCGGTCCCTCCTTTGAGCCCCAGGCCCCCGGAGCCGGGCGGCGCTTTCCGCGGGGCGCTGCTGCCCCCTCCTGGGGACGCTCCGCAGGCCCCTGTTGCTCCGGGAGCGGCTCCGGGGGGCCCCTGGGGGCTGGGCGGCGGGCGCGTCGGGGCCGATCCCGCTCAGGTGTCCCGTCCTGCGGCTCCGCCCTGGGCCTCGTCTGCGGCCGCCTCGAGTCCGCGCGCCGCCCTCCGCCGTCGCTGGGCCGCGTCCCCGCGGCCTCCCAGCTGTTGCGCCGTCTTGGCCGCCCCGCGGTGGAGCGTGGAGATCGAGGGTCCCTCGGTGGGCCCAGACGCGGGCTAAGACCCCCCGCCCTGCCGGTTCCTGCTGGTCCTTGAGCAACCCGGGCCTCAGGGGCTCCCTGGTGAAATAGGGCCACAGTGAGGGACTTGCCAAGGCTCGGCTCCGTCCTGGCACAAGGGCGAGTGCCCAAGAGATAAGAGTCATGATTGTTTTTCTCGGTCTCCAGCCCTCCTCGGTGGGTCCACAGACCCTTTTCAGCCTAGCCCCACCGGGCATTCTGGCTTCCCAGCACCACTGTGGGCCATATTCCCCGCTGTGGGTACGTGGCAAAAGCCCTGGCCCAATTCTGGATCCTCTCCCGGACATGGAGCCCCCACTTCTCTTCCCAAATCTCTTTCTAGCATCTTACTTCCAGTTTCTTCTCCGCATTAGGTCCCATTGCTGCATGACTCCCTCCTCTCCTTCACACAGACCTCCCCTGATCCCTTTCTCCTTTAGGTCTCCCCTCAGCTCACTCTGCCTTCTAGCCCCATCGGAACCATGACTTCTGACATCCCTGACCGACATCCCCAATGATTTTCAGTTAATCCCGGGGTCTCCAATGACCTTCTTGCCCCCCACAATCCAATGCCCAATTCCTAGACCGCATTTGATGGCCCTGCAGCATTTCGTGCTACTGAACGTGCTTTCTGCAAATTTTCTGCCCCTTGAATTTCCTGGGACACTCCCTCTGTTTTTCCTATGACCTTGAAGTCAGGCCACACCTCAGTTTCCTTGCTGGCTACTTTTTGTCCACCAGCACCAGCGGCAGGGCTCCTGCTTGGCTTTCTTTTCTTTTCATTCTACACACTCACCTGAGAGCTGTGGTCCCCTCACCACCACCCCTGCACACCGCCTCTTCCCCACCCCCGCCATCCACCGCCCCGTGGGGCTCCAGCAGCTCACCGGTCTGTCTCCAGCTCAGATCCTTGCCCTGGCTCCCTAAGTCTCCATGCAGGTGAGCCCTGGTTGTCTCTGTGGATGGGGAGAGATACCACCAACTCTGTGGGTCCAAAACTGTATGCCTTGTTCCACAGAAATCTAGGAGACATTTTTAACTCCTTTCTCTCTCTTGCTCACCCCTCCTACCATCCAACTGGTTGTGCATTCTGTTGATGTCATCTTATTCTACCTTACTGCCAAGAATCCTTTTTTCACGGCCATGGGCTCAACAACAATTTAGTGGGTGCTTATTATGTACCAGGTACTGCTCTAAGCTCTAAGCGTTGTGCATGCATGGCCTCATTTAATTCTCTTAACAGTCTGGTGGAAATAAGAAGGGACTGAGGCATTGAGAAGCCATGTGCTCAGGGTTATATAGGCAATAAGTGGCAAAGCCCAAATGGGCCCCAGGTCTTGCTGACAGCAGAGCCCTTGCTTTTTAGCATGTTGTGCAGTATTATTCCAAGATCAGGTCATTCCTTGCATAGACTGTCACATCGTCTCTTTTACTAGTTTTCTTGACTTTAGTCTCCCCCTCCCCACAGTGTAGCTATCAACAAGACAACTTCTCCTCTGTTGCGTCCTAAAATGAAAATTTAGTCCTGGGACTCTCCTCAAATCCCTTCAATGGCCTCTGTGGCTCTTAAGCTAAAATTTACGCTCTGGAGCCTCCTCCTACCTTTTTACCCAAGCTATTTTTTTTTTTTTTACTTATTTTTCATATTACATATGCAGTTTTCCCTGGATTCCCAAGGCAGAATTAAGTGATTTCTCAGTTGGGACTAGCTCCAACTACATGTAACAGAAACCCTAATTAATGGTGACTTAAATGAGATAATTAATTCCTCTCTCTTAAAGAGTTTGGAGTATACAATTCAGAGTTGGCATGGTGGCTCCTTTTTATCACCAATGATCCAAGATCCTTTTGTCTTTTTGTTCCACCATTCTTAACATTGGCTTCCATATTTAATGTTTCCTCATGGCTGCAAGATGGCTGCTGTAGCCCTAGCAATTACAACGACAATACTAACAGCAGGAAAGAGGAAGAGTCAAGGGCCAAAATGTGTGCCTTCCAGCTAGCTTGGCTGCTTTAATAAGCTCTCCCAGAAGTTGCATCCAGTGACTTCTAATATATACCTTTGGTCTTTCAACAGATACATTGGAGAATGTAGTTTTTTAGTTGGGTGCATTGGAAACCCTAATAGTGCAGACGTCCAGTTAGGTAAAAAGAAGAGGAAGGGTGGAGATGGGATAGAGAGCTAGTCTCTGCCCAGATTTCCTTCCTCTGCATCCCCCTCGCACTCCTGCGTATGTCTGCCATTGCCGTCCCCACATCTCCATGTAAATATCTGTCTAATGAGTTGTCTCTCATATCAGTTTGAATACTCCATGCAGAGGATGGCCCCTGGCACACAGTAGGTGCTCAGTATAAGTTGCTGTTGAATTCCGTCCATATGTAAAGAGATCACAGAATTCTGGATCACAGAGCCCGTCCTGAATTCCATCATTGGACATAGTCACGTAAGAGAATGTTCTTATTTTTAGGAGATACATGCTGAAATATTTAAGGGTGAAGGTCATGAAGACAGTAACTTACTTTTAAATTGTTCTGCAATAATAATAATATGTAGTATATTTAGAAACAGATATTATATATGTATAGAGAGTGCATTGGTTAATAGGTAAGTAGAGAGTTAGATGAGAAAGAAAATACGGCAAAATTTTACAATTGGTGAATCCTAGTGAAGACTTAGGGAGTTCATTGTTCTATTGCAACTTTTCTGTAGAATTCTTTTTACCAAAACAAGAAGTTACAAGGATCACAGAACTCTAGAATTTGAGATTTAAAAGGAGGACCTTGCAAATTGTTGAGTCTGTTCTCTCAGAGAAATGACATGTCTTTCCTAAGGCACAGGATCCCCTGGTCTTCTTCAGCTATAATAACAGCTCAGCTTCTTATATGTGCCCACAATCCCTTCTCCACAGAGCTTTGTGTGTGCTGTTCCCTCAGCCTGGAATGTTCTACCTTCCCCTTGTTGCCTGATTCCTTCTAATTATTCTTCAGATTTCTGTTCAAGCGCCATTTCTTCAGGGATGCCACACAGGTATCTAAAACTCAGCATGGCCAACATTGAACTCCTCATCTTCCTTCACGGGGCTTCTTCTCCTTTCCCTCTTCTGTTTCCTATTTCAAGAAATGGCAGCACTATCCACCCAGCTGTCCCCACCCCATACTGGGCACATCTTAGACCCCTCCCTCTCCCTCTGCCACCAGATTCTGCTCCTCTGACCTCTGAAATGTCTCAGTATCCATCCACTTCTCTCCCTCTCCACTATGATTCCTCTCATTCAAGTTGCATCTCTGCAACTGAATTCCATCGGATCTGTCTTTGTTCTGTCTTTATTATTTTACCCCACACCTTAAATCCATTCTCCACGCTGAAGCCAGAATTCCTTCCTAAATCATCAAGTTCACCACCCCACTCTCCTGCTAAAAACCAGCCCAACTTGATTAGCTGACGAACTTGGAAACTCTCACAATATAAACACCTAGAAATTTAAGTGTATAACTGGGTTTGCAAGAAAGAAGGACAAATGCCCCTGCATCAAAAATGAAGAGGACACTGAAAACGAGAGTGGTTAGCACAGGAGATGATGCCATGCAGCCCTGGGGGTGGCCATTAGACCTTGAATGGGCCCTAATGGTAGGGGGCTGGGTTTTCTCAAGGGATGCAACAGAGTTAAAGTTTGGCCTCCATATTTGGCCAGTATCAGCTTTTAGCTCTGGCTTTAGCTTTCACCTTTGGAAATTCAAATATTCAAATACCTGTTTCAGTGGCATCCTAGCATCCTTGAACTTGTGCATCATCAATAATCATGTGATTATATCCACCAATTTATTCACCGATTTCACCAGTTTTTCCACTTACGTCTTTTCTCTTCTCCAGGATCCAGTCCAGGATGCCATATTGCATTTAGACTTATTCCATTTTTAGCTATATATTCTTTAATCACCTCTTCATGTGACAATTTTTTAAAATCATTTTCCATAGACCAAAGAAAAAGATAATACAGTTTTTCTTTTTTCTTTCTTTCTTTTTTTTTTTTTAAGATTTTATTTAATTATTTGACAGAGAGACAGATAGCGAGAGCAGGAACACAAGCAAGGGAGTGAGAGAGGGAGAAGCAGGCTTCACGCTGAGGAGGGAGCCCGATGTGGGCTTGATCCCAGGACCCCGGGATCATGACCTGAGCCGAAGGCAGAAGCTTAACGACTGAGCCACCCAGGCGCCCCAGTTTTTCTTTTTTCTAACATGGTTAATCAAATGTATTTTCTGTTACTGATCATTACGATTTTTTCTTTCAGCTTTATCACTCTTTTTTGGTGAGGCACATAAGTGTTTAAGATTGTTGTCAACCTTGGAAAGACCTCTATGAAATTTCTTTCACAAATGAGCTGTAAATACTTAGTGGGTTTATAATCTCAAATATATTGTTGATGAAAGAAAACTTCCATTTTGACTAGCTTTTGCGTAGGAATGAATCCTCCACTTACAATTTTACATTTCTGGTATTGGAAGAATTTTCCATGGACTAGGAAATTGTAGATGGCTCTATACAACTTAACCCTTGTTTTTCTACCATCCACATATTTTTGGTATTGAGCACTGTAGGATTTTTTGCTGGGTGCCAGGCAAGGCAGCATGTGGAGGGTAGGAGTATTTCTGGAAGCCATTCCAGAATCTGAACACCCAGCAATAACTGAACTATACATGGAAATGACTGCAAACCATCTAATATATCCCATGAAACCCATACTAAATGTAGGCCACGTCTTTTTCTTCCTTGTCAAGTCCCCATGGTCATGCCAATGCCACCAACATGAGGAGAAGCTAGAAAAAATTATAGTGAATTAATTTTTTTAATGATATTTTTCTGGATTTTATAGATAATGTTTGTTTTTACTTGTCAACTTTCTAAAATTTGTTGAGATTTCTTTTCTTGTCATCAATGTTTACTTTCAGTCTTAATTTTGTATTTGTAGTTTGCATTGTTTTTTTCCCAAAGAGGAACCAAAATTGCATAAGCTTCAGGCCCCATGAAAACTGGATCTGCCCTTGACTGAGAGAGTTCGCCACTCACAGACATCAGTGAGAAGCTATGGAAAGATACTTTTCAGGAAGAGGGAAATGAAATCCAGAAGGAAGAGGTGGGATTTAAGAAGCAATGAAACAAACAAGTAAGTGTTAATTAAATAATAGTAATAATAATAATAGTAAGAAGAAGCCATTCCTCGCTGCTCTGGTATATGACATAAACACTGCGATGTGGCTGACAAGAGTCTGTGTGACCTAGTGTTTGTTGGCATCCGACTTTATCAGGCGCCACTCCCTCTCACCAACCTACTAGAAAACAGCCCTGAGTCTGTACATCTCACTGGTGCCTCCAGGCATTCTCACATTCTGTTCCTTCTCACTGGAACACTCTTCCCCTTCCTTCTTAAGGAAGAAACACCGCACGCTCTCAGCCTAGATGAGGGTCCCCTCCTGCTAAGACCGTTTTGTCACAGTCCCTTGCCTTGAACTCTTTCCTGGTCTCCATCCCCCACCAGACTGTTGTCTCCTGAGACAGAGACAGAGCCTGGCTCCTTCCTTGCAATACCCCAGCCCTTAGCACAGAACCTGAAGCAAGTAGGCAGTCTGTTAATATTTGCTAAATACATAGGTAAACTGAGAATGGAAACAAAACCTTTTGCTCTTCAGCTCTTGTCATTTCAACTAGTGCTCATCAGTATTAATGGTGGTCCGCTTCCCTGTCCGGGTCAACTCAGCTGAGTGACAACAGTCCAGTCTCTTGCAGATGACTGTGCCCTTCCTTTTGTCATCTTAGGGCACAGTAAATGCTGTAGACACCATGGTTGGTGCCCCTTCCACACCCCCTCAACTTACCCCGGAAGTGGCCTCTGGAGACTTCCGTGCTGACCTAGGGCTCCATGTCTCTCTCAGCCCGAGGACGTTCTCTGGCTGCAGGAGTGAGCGTGGGAGTGTCAGGGAGTTACCACGCCAGGAGCAAACTCTGACAACCAGCGACAGCTTCCTTACCTGCAGGACAGTCTGAAGCATGTTCCAGACAGTCTCTCAGAGGGTCCTGAGCAGGACTGAGCTCCAGATGCCCAGAGTCACTCCACCTCTCCCTCGTGTGCTTCCTGGGTTCACTTCCTGATTAAGCTACTTTCAACCCGTCCTTGTGTCAGGGTCGGCTAGGACACAGCATTGCCCTTTGTCATGGTGCAGTGGTGTAGCTGTAGCAGGAGACTGGGTAGAATTTTGTTGGACCCCACAAGATAGCTCTAGAAGACAGTGGTTTGGAAAAGAAATTCCTGAAATATGCGCATTTCAATAGAATGAATCTTTCTGTTCTGAGCTTCAGGAGGTTTCCAACTTCAAACACTGAAAGAGGAGAGTCTTAAAAGTGGGGCAGTTTATAGCCCCATTCAGAGGGAGATGAGCACTGAAAAACAAAATCTTGGTCAACAGAAGTTTCATTGGAGTGACTCAAGTATGAAAGTAATTCTCCGGCCAGCATGTTGACCAATGTCTTTCATATAACATGGACAGCTGAGCAGGGGAGACTGTGGGAGACTCAGGCTGGGACCCAGATTCTGGGGAACGCAGGGAACCTGCTCCTGCCGCCTACATAAAGTCTTAGCATTTTAAAACCATCAGGACCACTTCGAGCATCCCTGTCTTCTGAATCATCCTGCAGAGGCAGGGCTACTGGACTTAAGCCTCCAAGAAGGGAGGCTGGAGGGGGCCTCACCATTACCTGATTTGCATCTTGCTCCTCTAGGAAGGAGATTACTGGCCAGCCCCTCCCAAGGCCTTTCCTGGACTTGGGGTCAACTGACCAGGAGCAAACAATCCCCATGGGAGTCACTCCCCTTAGGCAAAGGCACTCAGCCAGGGACTTGGCAGGTTCCCAGGTTGCAAATCTCTGCATTTCACAGGAGAGGCTTTAGACTCTAAACCATGGCAGTGCAAGAGGAGAGTCTTCAGAGCTCAACAGTTTGTAGACAGATACGGAGAGATTAGAAAAGAGAATCCATCTCTGAACTTGGTTGTCTGGAGAGAAGGAGGCCGACTCATGAAGATGTTTCCAGAGATGACTGGAGTGCACAGATGGTAAAGCCATCAAGGGGAGATGGTGCCAGAGGTCAGCACAATGGGTGCCCTTGTGCCTTGTTTGGGGACTTTTGTGTTTATATGTTTGTGATCGCTGTCCCCCGTGCAACCCCAAGCTGGGGTCTGCTAAGAAAAATAACCTGGCTTACAAGGGCATTCTTCCAGCTTCACTTGAAAGTTTGGAAAACCCTTGGATAGGAAAATAACCTCAGGGAGCCAAGACTTTCTGCACTTGGTGGAGCCCTAGACCCAAAATACACATAAGAACACTTCGCTTTGAAATGCCTGCAGTACTCCTATCTGAGTCATCTGAAAACAAATAAAAAGAGACCTAAACAAACAAACCTAATTGTGCACAGAAACACGGCCAGGTTTCCAGCTTGGCTTCCCCTCTGTTTTCATTAGTCAGAAGCCAATGTACGCAGCTTTCATGGTATCCAGAAAAAGCAAAATATTAAAAACAAATTACCGAGGTTTCTCCCCTTCCCTCCTCCCTTCCCCGTGCACCAGGCAGGCCAAGTTCCTGACTTCTCTCTTGGATTTCAAACTTCTTTCTTCCAGTCTTGATGGACAGCTGCCTGCTTACCAGGCTGCCCATGGTTGACCAGCAGCCCTGGCTGACACGGGCATTTGTGAACATCAGCAATTACTGGGATACTCAGATGAAATTAAGAAAGGAATGTTATGGGTCTTGAGATATTATTATTTTTACCAATAGTCAATGCAACTGGTTTGAAAATCAGGCCTGCTAACCCAAATTCACTTAATATAGGTCTACCCATTGCTCTCAGCCAAACCCCTACTACCTACCTTTCTTTTTCCCTCTTTTACTTATTTCACCATTAAGTAGGCATTCCACTGCAATGGATACCTCTTGTCTTATATCTCCAAGGTTGTCAAGCTGGCAGAATTAAGTCTGAAGCTCCTGGTGGGGAGAGCTTGTTTGACGAGAAGAGCAGAGCTGAGTGTTAGAGAGGAATAAGAACGCATATGACATCATCTGAGTACCTGAATCCAGCCATGACTGAAGCCTGACCACCCTGGACTTTTCTGTTATATGAACAACTAAAACTCCTGTTTTACTTAAGCCTCTGTTAGTTGGGTTATTGTATCTTGTAACATAAGTGCGTGCAAACACACCTCTCAAAATGCCACCTGAAATTAAATCTTTGCATCTTCCGAGTAGACGACTACGCATTTCTGGGAATGATCTCTCAAAAGGAAGATTTTTTTTTTTTTTTTTTTGCGAATGTAGTTTCAATTAGATGTTGCAGGGAAGTTCAGAAGACAATCCAATTTAGCCCCAAATCTTGTGAGAAAAATTGCCTCTGTCCCTCATAATGTAGTAAGAGATGAATGAATTCTCTCACCTAACTCATATTTGACACAAAGAACAAAATAATGTAGTAATTACTGAGGAATTTCTTTGCATTCCTTGGCTTGTTTTGATGACCAATTCCGGGCGTCCTATTCTGTGAGGCCAGGGGGACATCTAAGTACCAAGATTAGTCTAGATCCAAAGCATGTAAAAAATAACAATAAATATTTGCCAAACAAAAACCAATGATACACCGACAATATCTAGGGGATAATTGAAACTGTAGGGCCAGTATTTTTTTTTTCTTGGTCTATATGCCATGAATAGGTGGGAACTTGGCTTCTTGTTCCCTCCTAATAACTAACCAGAAAAAGAACTCAGGTTAACTCCATTTTTCCAATTCTCCAGTTAACAGTGAGTGTCAGGGGGTGCCTGGGTGGCTCAGTCAGTTAAGCACCCGGCTCTTGATATCGTCTCAGGTCATGATCTCAGGGTCGTGAGATTGAGCCCTGGGCTCCTCACTCTCTCCCTTTGCCCCTCCCCAGTCCCGCTTGTGCTCTCCCTCCCACCCACTCTCAAAAAAAAAAAAAAAAAAGAGTGCAGTGACTATCAGATCAGGTGGGGGATGACATACATGCAGGGATGGAATAACAGCCTGAGGAACTGGGCTAACTGATTAGAAAAGCGAACACATTTTTAAACCATTAGTTTTGAAATTAATAGCTACCCTTCTCAAAGGAGTTCCATCAGGGCTTGGTTCAAATGTCACTGCCTCCAGGAAGCCTTCCTTCATGCTTCCATTGGAAAGTATCACTCCTTTAGGCCGCCCTTTCACAAAGTTCAAAATGCTTGATATTAGAAGTAGCTGTAAGAAGATGGAGATCATTTTTACTCAAGAGTCTTTGGGGAAGAACGCCAGAATAAATAATTCAATAAGTCCTCTGGGATGAAGTAAGGGACAAGATCTAGAAGTACATAATCAAGTAGAACAAGATGGTCCCTACCTTGACTTCTATACTGAGTGGGTCTAATTTTTGAAAATAGAAGAAGAAATAATTTGATGTGGGGATGCTGAGAGAGCTGTGTTGCTTTACATGACAAAGAGGAAAGAGAGGCACTTGTTCTAGAGAACCTGGGAAGAGAAAGGGAGCTGGTGGGGCTGGGCATTGCTCCAGGGATCTGAGGGGAATAAGATACTTCTGGAGGTGAGCACTGGAGGACGACGTGTGAAGAACAGAAACATCCAGATGGGTTGTTGACGCCGTACCACTTGCCCCTCCATTTCCCCTACCAAGCTTCCAGTCACATCTCTATTGCTCATACACACATATGTGTCTGATGGGGGACTCTGAAGGGGAAGGATTTCTATGTGCAGGTGGACACAGAATAAACACATGTAGACACAAATCCAAATTTCGAATTGACTTCATGCTGTCCCAGTGGATGACAGAGCTCCTGGAGGGAAGGGGCCATTTTCACGTGTTTTAAGATCTTTGCTCAGCTGAATTAATGACCTAACATGCAGGGAAACATCTGCAACAAAAATGATGGCCTGAGAGTCAGATAAACTGTTGTCAGTGACTAAACTCCCAGAGCTCAATATATATTGTGACCATTATTATTATCAGTAGGCACATGAGTACAAAGGAGAAGCCCAGGCAGGTTGCCTAGTTCCTGGAGCTGGAATATCAATGGGGCTTTAATTTTAGTTTAGTTTTGATTTATACCTAGTTATAGGAAGCGGAGTCATGTCCTTTGGTAACCTACCCCCACACTGACTCTGGGCTGGCCTTGATTAACTTTGACCAGTGGTACGTTAGCAAATAGACCCATGAAAAGAGCATCATGGCCCAGTCCCTTGTAGCTCCCATCACGTAAACCAGCCTGGGCTAGTCTGCTGGATGATGGGAGATGCGGACAACAGCCAGGCCCCCTCTCTCCTTCTAGCTGACTCTCTCCTTCAAGCCAACAGCCAGACATCTGGGGGAGACCATCCTAAGCCATCCAGCCCCAGCAAAGCCAGTTCAGACCAGAAGAACTGCCCAGCCATCCCCCAGAATTGCAAGAAAGATGAAATGTTTGTTCTTTCAGCCACTAAATTTTGGAGTGGTTTATTACCCAGTAGAAACTGACAAATAAACTTTTATCAAATTTTGTTTGTTAGGAAACCAAGGTTCAGAGAGATGGAGAATATCGCTTCAAGTTAAACTTGTAGTTAAACCGTGGAACTGGGGTTTTGTTTTATGCCAGCCTCTAGTCCTGTACCCATGTAGTCCTGTGGCCTCCTTTCATCCAAAGGAGTTTGGTTTCAAGCCCAGGGTGAGTGCCGCTCACCAGTGCTGGGGACCCACGATTGGAACAGGCCGGATCGCAGTGCTGAGAAGAGGCTGAAATGCTGGGTGTTAGTCTAAAATTCCTGACTCCTCGTGGTTTTCCATCTTGTCTGCACATGAGAATCATCGAGGAGTTTTTAAAAATCCTGATGCCTGGGTCGGACCAAATAAGTCAGAATTTCTGAGGGTTAGAGTCAGTATTCTTAAAACTCCCCCTTAATTCAAATGCATGGCCAAACCTGAGAACCAGTGTCTTCCACTTCCCTAAACAGGTCCCGTGGAGGTTGGAGAAATTGGAGCTCTTTAACCTAGAAATGTCCCCAAGGAAGTGAAGGAGGGGCCTCCTGAGGACGAGGGACCAGGAAGATCCGCACAATTGATTGAACAAATATACGGTATAGCCAGGCAGTACATTATTATTCCCTGCCCTCAAGGACTGCGGGAGTGACAGTTACAAAAGTGCATAATCGCAATCACAGTGTGACAAATACCATGCTTACATGTTCCAGGTCACAGCAGCAGCCTAGAAGAGGCAGAGTTCCTCTTATTAACTGGGTCCCAGAAAAGGTGACATTGCACTGAGTCTTGAGGAAGGCAAGAGGAGATCTCTGTTCATCAGGAATGGACAGCCACTCCAGGAGGTGGGTGAAGCAGAGATGAGTCAGACCTGGAAGCTGGGAGGATGCAGGGGAGAATCTTACACTGAGAGCAGGATGAGTAGAGGAGAAATAATGACCCCTAAGGCCCTATCCAGGCATTGATCTTATGTATCTCTCAAGAAATTGGGTACCAAAGCTTCAGGCAGGTCGGGGCCTGCTGGGGGGGCTAAGTGGCCCCAGTGGGGAGTCAGCTGGCCATTGTAATGAGGGTGCTATTTGGACCTCTGTTCCTGGAAATTCCAAGTCCTGACCCCAGAGCAATAGCTGCTGAGCCTTCTGGCATTTTCCTTCTCCACGTGCAGTCATGGACCAACACTATCAGCATCACCTGGAGGCTTCCTGAAAATGCAGAATCTTGACATCCACCCAAACTTTCTGAATCAGAATGTGCATTTTAATGAGAGCCTCAGATAATTCCTAGGCACATTAAAGTTTAAGAAGCACTGTTCTAGTTAGTACTCTCTAGTCCCAGGCAGATGAATATATTCCCAGCCAGTACATGCTCTAGAACACAGAGTGCCCCTTGCATACTGAGCCAAGACAGCCCTGGATTGGGGGAATAGCGGCCAGCAGAAGTGGTCAGCCTGGCCACAGCAGAACATAATATATGTTAGAGAACATAATAATGTGTATGGAGCAGAATCCAAGGTCATGACTGGAGAGCTTGCATCAGGAACAAGTGTACTTTGAGTTCAAAAGTAGAGCTCCTGAACCCTCTCCTATTCCGTCCTTAGACCCCTTTACCAAAGAATATTGGCAATCTGTAAATGTTGGCACAGTCAACAAAAACGCAACTACGGATCTGCCTCCAGCCACCTTTTCCTCTCGCTCATTTGTGAGATTCAAGGCTTTGTGGATTTAAAGACAAGACTGGGCTGCCACAGTCTTGCTTTGCCAGGTCTCAGGTGGTCAAAGAGTCCCAGAAGACCCATGGACACCCACACATGAGCCGTGGGTGCTCAGGGAGAGCTGGCCCAGGGCAGAGCCATCACTTGCTAAGGCAGATGGAGGTCCTGGGTACATGCTGATCGTCCTGCCTGCTAATGACTTTTCCTCTTGTCAATGACCTCTTTGCTTCAGAATCCCCAGCAAGCTGCATTCCTGACCAGAGATGTCAGAGGGACCTCATGTGAACTGCCAGCCACTGACTTGCTTCTGAGGTTGGAGGAAATAGCTGGGAGGCTGCCCTCACCTTCCAGCCTGGAATAACCTATTGCTCACTTGGAGGCCTCCTGCTTGGCTCCAGGATGCCTTTGGCAAAGCTTGCTCCTGGCAGGCTGAACCCACAAGAACCCTGTCATTTCTGAGCATGTGTCAGGGTATGAGGAGGGAGAATGCAGTGTGGCCACAGGGGAAGCCAAGCCAGGGACATAGCCCGGCATGATGAGGGGAAGGGGACGTAGTCTGCCATGGACTGGAGGGGGTTGGGAGTCAAAATTTCTGGACCCCGAAATTATCCTTATGAGGCACTGAGAAGCATCAATTCTGAGAATCATGAGAGGGATTGTGGGGTCAGTGGCAACCTGCCAAGCCAACCACAAACATTTGGCTCAGTAATATGAGCTGACTGACAATCCATCCCAGCACTACCTCCTCCAGGAAGCACTCTCTGGTTCCCTCCCCCCAGCTTCTTTGTTGGTGTTTATTGCCGAGACCCCTAGTCTAAGATAAGTCAAATCTCTGCTAAATTCTTCCGACTACTAAATTCTTTCCACAAGGTTTTATTAAGTTTTAGGGCAACAGAAGCACAAAACAGAGGGGGTTTTATAACTACTGCTTGAGCTCAGTATCTCCACTTCCCTGGTAGAACCCCAGGTGACATGGGACTGTGGCACCTCTCTTCCCAAAGTGGTGCCAGTGACCATGAACCTCC